TGCTTTTCTTCTTTGTTAGGTGTGATTTCTTTGCTTGGCTGGCGGAATTAAGTCAATAAAATGCAGAATTGTTTTAAAGGAATAACCTATTACTTATTTTTTTCGCAATTTTACAAAGAATACCTCAAAATGTAAATATTTTCTTTTGGGACTAATTATATGGACTGCGTGTAGCAAAAAGGAACCAAGTCACATTAGCTATCGCCAAACCTAACCGGGCAATTTAATTTTTTACTAAAGGATGTTTGTGCGGACACTTTTGAAAATTTTAATGAATTTCCTTCACACTTTGCAGAAAATCACTTGAATTCGCACAAAAATCCGCGGAACCGTTATCATGCGAAAAATTGAATTGCCCAATTAAATCTGACAATAGCTGATGTGGCTTGGTTTCTTTTTACTTAACGTGGTCCCTACTAATTGATACCACTTGAATGAAGGCTACAAAATTCAAGTATGTTCGCGTATGATTGATCAAAAAATGTGCGGAAGAGGATAATTGCTTGTAATAATTACTCAGTTTTTTAGGTACAGGAACGTATGAACGGTTTCAACGTATGAAATTTTCTAAAATACAAATCGAAAATAAGGGAAAAACCAAGTGTGGCACAAAATCCGCGAAAATCTACACAAATTAAGAATGAAAGTCCATGAAGACGGCGAGTATTTCAACAATTCCCGATTTTTTTGCATAAAATTGAAATTGACTAAATCCTCACTTAAATTGGTTGAAAAGCTTGTCGCGTATTTCAGGGATTGCAAAGTGCTGCAAGGGGTTTAATTGTTATTTTATGCAATTTCTTTTTTTTTTAAGGAAACAAAAGAAATAAATATCAATACCGCCGTGTGTAAAATTTTGTCATGAGACTTCATTTACACCGGCAAATTTGCATCAAAGCAGACCCGTTCATGTGACGCAAAATGCGTTTCAAGGGCCGTAGCCGACGCAAACTTGGCGGCGGCGTGCTGATGAGAACAAGAGGAGGAATGCACGGCTCCCCACATAACGCATCAGCTGTGAACGGTTTCGCATGAGCCATGCGAGAGGGGGTCGGCAAACCTCTCTTCACCACTCTCAAACAATGCGCACCTTTCCACGCGCCGCGCCGCGGGGATGCCCCAAACTTCACCTAAGCTTCCCATCTCGGGGGTTCTTTGCGCTGCGCCGTCCCTCATCCGCGACGCAACACGCACGACGCCGATGCTCCACTCGGATGCACAGCTCATCACTTCCAGGGGCTTGGTCGAGGCGGGAGAGCGTATGATTGGGTCGTTGAAACTTTCCTCGCCCACCTCGAGTGTATGTATGTTCGAATCGTCTTATTACTTATTAACCTCCTCGTATGGATGCTGAGGTTAAGTCTCCGCGCCTCGAGGAGATATTCGTAGTCGTTCCCTGAACTTATATCTTTCAGTCACCGGCTTATAGCTTCAGCTCGCTGTTATCCTTCAACTCAGGAGCTAAAGGGTGCAATGGACTATTCCACTTTTCGGTGAACTCCGCATAATTTTGTGTTACTCTTATGCAGAGATTAATTGAGTGGTTTTTCCCACACGGAGGAAAAAACCTCGTGCGTGGGACCCGAAGTTTAGGTCATATGGATCTCTGAAGTTTTTAGCTTTAGCATCTGAACACTTAAGGTCTAGCTGTCGAGGTTCGAATCACACATCTGAAACTTCAGATCTTACATCTGAAGTACTTCAAATGTGAGAACCGAAGTTTTTCGGATGTGAGAACCAAAGTTCTTCGGATGTGAAAACCGAAGTACTTCAGATGTAAGAACTGAAGTTTCAGATGTGTGATCCAAACCTCAGCAGCTGGACCTTAAGTGTTCGAATGCTCAATCGGAAAACTTCAGAGATCCATATGGCCTAAACTTTGGGTCCCACGCACGAGGTTTTTTTCTCCGTGCAAAGGTTAGTTTATTGATTGACCAGTGATCCTGGTCCTTTTATACCGGGCTTCCGTAAGTCAACGTACTTAAATTTCAGGATCGATTTTTCGGCTCAATGACTTTTTTCATATACACATATATCTGAAAACGCTTCATACGTGAGCTGTGCGTTTCCAAAGTTGTCTTTTTCTTTCTTTCAAATTGATGTAACTCCTCGTTATTTTGTTTTAGGTAGCTGAAACTGTTTGCAGAGCCGTATTTTTTAACGTATCGTTCATTGTTTGTGTTTACAAGGGCGTACGTCCTCGAAAAACGACGTTACGGTTCCCGTATTCTAAAATTGCGAGAAATTTTTCGATAAACGATATTTGGAAAAACGGATTGCGGCACGTGAAAGAGCGCTAAAATTCAAATGTTTAAAGTATTGCACAAAATTCTCCAAAAACGCGTCATTTTGTCGTGAAAGAGCTTTGAAAAACTTTTAGATTTTCGAAGATCCTTGTTGGATAGGCGATTTTTACTGCAAGGACTATAGAAATCATAGCGCATGGCAAAGAAAGCGTATAGCTCTCTTATGATACGTTTTCGGGCCCACATGCATAGGAAAGGAAAGTCTCATTTTGAGCCGAAAAATCGATCCTGAAAGTTAAGTATGTTAACGTCTGGACACCTTGTATATTTGCTACGCTATATATTTTAAAAAAAATATATTTATATTTAAAAATGCAAAATTTTACCTTGTTTTCAGCTTGCAGCTAAATAGTAACACATATCTTATACTGCAACGTTTCGCTCCGCATGGGGGGCATCTTCATGCAGGCTTTATACACATTAATCACATTAAAACTTAAACCTAGCTGTAAAAGCAGGTCGAGTGTCTGCGCGAAATGTAGAAATTAACGTTTCATCAACGATTTCAGCTGGTACTTGCTGCAGTAGATTTACCACCAATCAGTCGTGTTTGTTGTTGAGTTGGTTGATGAGTCGGTTTTTAGCAGAAAGAAACATTAATTATTGCCAAAAACTGGGAATTTCAATTTTTTACAGTAGAACGTAAGTGCGGATTCCCTTAAAAATTTTAAGACATTTTTTTCCTACTATGTATAAAATTCACTGAACTTTTCACCAAAATCCGCACAACCGTTTTCATGTAAAAAATGAAATAGCCCAATTTTTGGCGATAGCTAATATGGTTTGGGAAATTTCTGCTTAACGCGGTTGTCTGTGCATTACTCTACTTGTTGACAAGAGAGCTGATGTTTTTGCAAGGCTATATACATTGTGTAAAACATGAAGGTAATGCCATTCTCCTTTGATCTTGTTTTGTTTTCATTGCTCTTCAATTTTTTTTTTTCTTAACTTTCTCCGAGGAAAATTATATTCTTCGTTCTGTCTTAACAGAAGACCAAAAATCGCCCATGCCTCGTTCCTCTCAATCTTTTTGATGCTATATCTCTCAGTGATCAATATGAAAATTAAATATGTAGTGTTGAAATTCGACAGCACTTTTCCCCGAGCAATGCAGGCGAGGAATTCGATATAAATATATTGATCCCACCGATGAAAAAAGTCTCCGATTTGCTCGACATGACGTTGCATTGATTACCTCCGGCGCAATAAATCGTATCATTGAAAAATTTAAATCGCAAAATTGAATTCGCTAATCGTGAGGGATGCATTGAAAGTGGCGTAGACGTGTAAAAATTTGGAAAATCCACGTTTGGGAGTTTTCACCGGTTCATTGTCGAGTTCCGGCAGGCGTTAATTATATTTTTGCGGAACACGGTGCGCTTCCTGTGTTTTAAATTCCGTCGCATTATTTATGTAGCCGAAAAAGGCGAAGGGACACGACGGTCGCGCCGGAGGGACATTCGAAGGGGGTCTAGCCCGGGTTGGGGCGAGGTGGGAGGGGCGCCCGGAACAACGGGGCGACCAAGAGAAAGAAGGTGGGAAGAGGCGTGCGAGGGCGCGAGGGGGAAGGGACAACGAAGGGCAGAGGTAGGAAAGATGGAGGAGGTCATTTTTAGGAAATAAGCGAAGGAGATTTAAAGTATTTGACGGGAGATTCATTATGAAAATAGAGCTGAAAGTTCTAAGGGACGGTGGCCGGCCGGAAACAAAGGAATGAAAGGGTTGCTCTTTTTAATGTTTCTCCGTAGGGAAGTACAAGTGGGATGGGGGGTTGTAAAAAGTTATTATCCCTTCCTCTCTTTCGCCCCTTTCTGAGGGTCAGTTGTGTGATAAGAAGCTCGGTTTAACTCGTCCTCCTGGAGTCCAGGAGGAGACGAGGAAAGCGGGAAAGCGGGAGCGAGGAGGGCGCCGCTCCGGGAGCCCGGGAGATAGGTAAACCGAGGGAGCCGCGCAAGTTGCCGAGGGAGAGAGACAAAGTCGCCGACAGGCATGGAGACAGCGGGAGAGAGAGAGACTCCCGGTGATTAGAGGGAGGAGATTTTAAATTAGTCGGCTTCAAGTGGGAGAGAGACAGGTCGAGCGGAAGAGAGAGCGCGTGTTCTGTGTCCACATTTAGAGCCTGCGTCGTTTCACATTCCCTGCTCCTGCTTCGCCCACCCCGACCCGAACCCCTCCACCTCCAGCCCCGAAGCTCTGAAATCTCCTCATTTGGTTTAAAACTATAAACTGGATTGCTACAGTATGGCTTTTCCTTTTTGCCTAACCAATCAAATCCTCCGCTAGCATCCTCGCCCGATAATTATAAACAACCCGCAAAAATTTCGCTCCCGACACTTACCGCGACTGGACGTCCGCGTCTCTCGGCTCCGCGCCTCCTCTCGCGTTCGCACACTCGTGTCCACCACTCGTGGTACCCGTCACCTCTAATCGCGCTCCCAAATCCGATTAAAAAAGTGCGCCCACGAAAAGCGGGAAAAAGTTCCGCCGCCCGCGCTGCGCCCCACAGTGCCCGGTCCTCCGTCCACGTGCTCCGCCGGCTTCGAAAAGCCCGCCATTTTTTCGGCGAGCGAAGGAAAAGGGAAAAAAAAGTGCGCGCCATTTTTCCCCCGACTAGTTTTTCATTGATACGAACGTAATTACCTACGTATCCGCTCCAGTAATTGAGCTCCCCCCCACCTTGTCATNCCCCCCCCCCGCCCCGCGCTCCTTTTTTCAGCTCCCTTCACTCATGTTTACATTTCATTCAAAGCTATTTTTTAAACTCTTTCCGATTGACTTTCCAGCCTTTCCCGTTTTATTTATCTCCCCCGTCCGCGGTCCGGTGCGGTTTGGTGGAAACCGTTATTTGTGTTCACCTGTTTCGCCCTGCGTTCTGTGATAATGTGCGTTTTTAAACTCGGGCCCGCTCCTTCTTTCTCCCCCGAAACCGATTTATCTTCCGCGATCGCGTTTCGCCCTCGCCACGGCGGCCGGCCAATTGATTCGAGACCGGTCTCATTGATTTCCGCCCCGCTTTGAAATGGCCGTCTTGACGTTCTTCGACCAGCGCATCCCGGCCAAAAAGATCTACAACTACAAACAATATTACTGTAAAAATGTGCGCCTCCAACATGTGACGTAATCGGTGTGCCAATCTTCTAGTGTTCTAACAAGTGTTTTTTTTTTTGTGTGTGTGTGGGTGCGTGCGGGGGATAATGCACCTGACGGCCAATACGGGGACGTCAGCGGCGACGCCTTGCGAGGACGCGGGCGGTTCCCTGATGAACGACACGTACACCAAAATGACGTCGGATATTCTGGCGGAGCGGACGCTGGGCGATTTTTTGTCGGAGCACCCGGGGGAGCTGGTGCGGACGGGGAGCCCCCAGTTCGTGTGCACGATCCTGCCGCCCCATTGGCGCTCCAACAAGACCCTGCCGGTGGCCTTCAGGGTGGTGGCCCTGGGTGACGTCATGGACGGCACCGTCGTCACCATCCGGGCCGGCAACGACGAGAACTTCTGCGCCGAGCTCCGCAATTGCACGGCGATCATGAAAAACCAAGTGGCCAAATTCAACGACCTCCGATTCGTCGGCAGGAGTGGTCGGGGTGAGTTCCGAGTTCCTATCTTTTTTTTTACACGTTTTTTTAGGGGAGTGGGAGCCGAGAGACTTGAACGCTCTGAAAAAAGTTACGCTCGAGAAAAGATGGGAAAATCACGTGAGGATTTAACTTTTAAAGCATGCGTGAACGCAAAGTTTGGTAATTTTAGAGTGATCCACCGCATCTGAAAATCATCAAAATTGTAGATCTTACAGTGAGCTAGTTCACTGAGAGAATAATGCTACTCGAAAATTCGGTAAATATGAGAAAAGAGACATGAGGTAAACTCAAAGGTCCGGTTCATTCAGGGATATCCCGGTTTTTCAATTGTTTTTTGTGTTAAATTTGCAGTAAATTGCACCGAAATCTACTCAAAATTCGAGTTGGTTTGTGTTTTTTTTTCCTACATTATCTCAAGGTAACACGAAAACATTTTTCTCGGTGTCAATTCGCCCGATTGTAACAGTCGGTTTAAAGCAGATTTCCCATAATCAACGATAAATCTGAGTCGTTTATGTCATTTTTCTTCATTTTTCCTTGCTATCAACGTTAATTACTGTACGTCAAAAATTGATCTACAGAGATACGGATAAACATTCTTACCGTAACATCACAGGAAGAATCTATCACAGAACTGTAACAGTTATGTATGAACGCACGGATAAGTATACCTCCGACGGGATAGTAATTCTACAAAATTTTCTTCTTCTCTCCTAAGTTGACCGCGATTATCGCGGACTGTTTAGTAACACATATTAGAAAATTTGACCATAATTAGTAGAAGAATGCATTCCAATTACAATGTTTGTGCATTAATGCTTCGCGCTCTTATTTTGCCGAGGACTTTTTAGCAAAGGAAAAATTGAGTTGTCCATTCAATTGAATCCTGGCTGGAATAGATTTGCCCCATAATTTAATGGAATTTATAAATCATTTGCTCAAAATTAGGTTTCTGTCACTAATGAAAATTCAGATAAAAACCAAAATTTCTGTGAGGAAAATTATCCAATAAGAATATTTTGAAATTAAGTGTTCAGTACTTGATGTTTACCTCCCCAAACTTTCTAAATGACTAGGGAAAGACGACAAAATTCTTGTTATTTAACGCAAGTTTTCCGACAACTTCACCGTTTTGCGATAGCTTTGTGTACATTTTGTCGAGCTCAGTGATACACTGTCATTTTTTCTTGTTGTGTGTGTTTTAAATGGCGAAAAGTATGTCTCTCCTCAAGAAAGTTTCAGCTGCTCTGTAGTTCCCGTATTAGATTTTTTTGTAGTCTTCAGTGCCTTAAGTCGAAAAATACCCCCTGAAGCTCCCGAATTTTCTTCAGAACCCCCCTAGATACGTTCATTTACTTTTTCTATAGCATGTGCAGTTGGAGATATTGCCTGTTTCACAAGAGAAAAATCCAGGAACCGCCAGAATTAGAATTCATTCGTTCTTACGCCCTAATATTACGTCCTGGGTAACATAATATTTGCCTAGGATTTGGTTATTCCGACCTACGTCGAAAACTGCCGCGGCGAATATTTTCTCATTTGAAAGTTGGAATTTTCCAAAAATAGGAAAAAAGCACCGGCGTATTTTTTAACGTTAGTGATCAGAGAAATTATGATACTTTGATCACGAAAAATCGGAGGGGAACAGCCAGCATTGGTGTTCTTTTCCTATAGTTTGCGCACAATTTTATGGCTCAGCTCTACAAAGATTTTGTGATAGGGAAGTCAGATTTATAATGGTAATTCATGTTCATAATCTTATTATATGACAAATGTGAAACGTGAAAACAAAAATATCCTTTTATATCTTTTTTGAGGGTGCGCTTAAATTTTTCAAAAGTGATTGTGTGGACAGTAATAAATCAATATAAAATCAATAATAGATGTTAATAGTTTCACAAAGGCGAGCTCTCCAATACAGTAGTGTTGGAACCAGCAGTTTGTTTTTTCTTACCTAGAATATGGAGTTAGTTCGATCGCAAAGATTAGCACTAATTAGATCGAGTTTTATTTACAAAATTCACTCATATCGCCTTTCGCGAACAAAACTTCAATGAACACAATTATTAGCGTCAAGACAGAGGAAAATGTGTATCGACAAGCTTTCTTAGTTTATCAAAATTTAAACTTTCTTTGTAGGGCCGAATGTATAATTTAAGAGTCTAAACTTCAAAAAATTCAGCTTCGTACTGCATATTCATAAATAATCACTGACGTTCTATTGCAAGCAAAATTAAATGTTAACATGGAGGTTGGTTTGCCGTTCATTTTTNTGGGGGGGGGGGGGTTAGGGGTCTGAAAAACGATTAGTGTAGGGTCATTCACTCTTTGGGAAAGTTTATTAAGAACGAGTAGTTAAAGGTGTCCAAATTTTTTTGTGAAGGGATGGAGAATTAGGACCCTTATAGCTTAAACCCATTTTCTAAGCTCTCGAATTTTAGCATAATAACCCAATGAAACATTCAGCTTGATTTTAGATCTTTCTAGATCATACTGAAATGTTTCATTATTGCCATTTTCACCCTTAAAGCAAAGAAAGGAAAATCTTCTCATACAAACCTATTTGGTAGTTGAAGAATCAATAGCGGATTTGAGATATGCAGTATGAACGTTTTGTCCTTTTTGTCCGTATATCCCTTTTCACAATTTCTTTTCCTTAGTCGGGTACGTTACTTAAGTGACACGTCCAAGGAGACTTGTAAACAATTTCGTGAGAAAGTGGCACGCAATTTTACTGAATTTACTGGCTTGATTTAATTTTCGTTTTGTTTTTGTGGGAAATCAAGCTGATGGGAGAAATGGAGGTCATTTACAGGACCAGCAATATGAATTCACCTAGACCACTTTTAAAGCTCGTATTGACCAGTGTTATCCACTTGAATAATTGTGCTTCGTGTGGTCCACTCCGTCCACAAAAGTATTGCCAGCATCTTGCAAAACTTTAATTAGTTGGCAAGTCCTGTTGAATATTTTAATACATACGTCTGATATTGTAATTAGTATTGACTCTGAAAATAATATAATCAACTCTGAATATTTCGGAAGGAACCCTCTAAACTTTTTCCTGTTTTGCTTTCTCTTGCACAAGAAACTGCTCCACATATTTCTCTCTTTTCCATTTGATACGTTTTCTTTTTTGAGCGCAAATTTGCAAACGTGTCCTCATTTTTTAGTTTATTGGTTACGCCAAGCCAGCTTATTTCATTCGCGTGTTATACACTTACAGAACCTGTAATTGAACCAAGTGCAACAATGATTGGATCAATCGGATCAACCCATATTTATTCATCTTGAGCAAAAAATCAATTACATATTTTTTACGCTAAAATTTAATGTTGAGGTTAAAGTGAACGCTAGTAAAGACTCTTTTTTTCTTTTCATATCATTATCCTTACAATATAATTATAGTTTCATAGTTTAATCTTCATAAGAATTTCTAAACTGTTTGACTTGAGAGCATTATAACGCGTAAAATAACGACGTAAAAAAGGAGTTTAAGCGTCAAAATTCTGTATTAGTTAAAGATACAATGATAGGAATAGGGAATCGATCAAGTCGAAGATTTTTAAGAAATCTTATGATGCGGAAGTTAAAGAAACAAAAGTACATGTAGTAGATCATGAATTTCGAACAAAACATTAATCATGTGTACTTTATGTAACTATGGGAAATCCTCATCTTTTATTTGCCTGTTCAGAGCTTTTATTACAAAATTAACTATCCCAAGCATTAAAGATTTTCTACGTAGGCATTGTGTACCTGCGTCATGCTGAATCCCAAGTAAGATTGTTACACATTACGGTGAAACTTTCTAATAAAGTTTCTCGTTTGTGGTGTTTAAAAATGTTAACTCCCGGTCTTGACCAGTCGCTACGGAGTCAAGACCATATGGTCTCATTTCGCCTTCAAGTTTGATGATACATGCACAAAGTACGAATACTATCCAAGAGCCGTTGCGATCGAATGTCTCGCTCTGTCGTCATCTCTTGATTTTCCACGTCTCCACGGTATTTTTTACACATGTGTCTTGGCTTAATAGTTCGTGCAATGAAAGAAAACTAACATAAAGTTTGCTTTAAGGTCCTTAATACCTAGTAGTCTCATTTTGATGGAAGGAAGTCGTTCTTTAGCGCCGCACAAAGTCGCAGTCAAAACCAGATGTCTCATTTCGCCTTCAATTTTGATGATACTTCCAGCACATCCGTAAAGCGCTATTAGTTGTATCAAGGAGCTGTGTGAGTTCGAGAGCCCTTTTCTGTTTTCATCTCCTGATTTTTTACATCTCGACGGCATTGTTCGATAGTCTCGTGAAATTGAGAAAAACTCAGATGCAAATTTCATGTGGAGGACAGTTGTTTCGTTTTGAAAAAATGAGGTCTTTTCTAATTTACGGCGTTTTTGCTAGCTTTAGAAATGATGCATTTCAAACGGTTTTCACAATTACGCGTAATATGAAGCATGATTAGAGTATTTGACGTATTGCTCTGCAGCGTTTAGAAGATCGCTCAGCATGAAAGACCGAACATTTTTCGTTTATGACTCAAATCAATCTTTTTAGCAGGGCTCAGCGATCACTGAAAAAAAAATATATTTCTTAGGATGTTATTTTTACTCAAAGCGCCGTTTTTTGTCGATAATTTTTTTTAAAAAAAGAAGTTGAATCCGTGAGGATTCTACTCGACACCAGCCTTTTTGAGTTAAGAAACGTCGTTTTGTCATCGTTAAGTTTAAGTTAAAGGAGCGATAAAAAAACAACTGTCATTGAACAAGAAAAAAAAAAACCAAATTTAATCGACAAGAAACGATGCTTTAACTCAAAATAATATCTTAAGAAAATGTTTTTCAATGTTAACTGTAGATTCTAACTCATGGCACATCTTATCTAGTACTCACAAAATCTGAAATATCAGTTTCAAATGTATTGTATGTGTGCATTTTATATATCTCCGCTCCAATTTTATTTTTTTGAAGAGGAACAATTTTTTTTTTCAAAAACAAAGTTTTTT